CCCTCTTCTCCTGCCTCCTCTTGGCTGAATGAGGGCTGGAAGCGGGGGGGCCGGAAGCAGGGGGCGGGGCTTCATCATGTGCCCCGCCCCCCTGCACCTCACCCGGGGGAACTGCGTTCCCCCGCATTCCCCCCCGAAATGACCTCTGTCTGTACCCAGCAGGGACAAAAGCATTTCTTGGGTGGCTTTTTCAGCCAGCAAAGGGCAAGAGAGGCAAGGGTTAAAAATTGCAGCCACCGCCTCCTCCTCTTCCTCCTCCTCCAGAGAGAGAGAGAGAGAGGGAGAGAGAGAGAGAGAGAGAGAGCTCTTTTGTTGAGCCTGAATTATCTTTCCAGTGACAGGCTCAAACCTGGATTGCTGATCTGTGAGGCAATGCTCCCTCTAAGCTGTGGAGTCTTGTGAGCAAAAGCTCTACTTTGTGACCTACTGGCATTGAAGTTGTGAGCGAGCGATTTGGCTGCGACATAAATTCGTTTGCTCTGGAGCTGTACTGCCTGAGCGAAGACAAAAATGTGTGAGCCGGAGGCTAAAATACTAGCTCACTCTGACTCAGCTTAGAGGGAACACTATTTTGAGGTCTCACAACAAAACAAACCAGGACTAAAATGTATGGGGAAATTTCCCTTTGGAACCTGGTCTGAAAGTTTATGACTAATCCAGTGCAGTATCTGAATCAGCCTGCTGATCTTCCCAAGGCTTTACATTCCCTGGCCTAGAGGTTCCTATTAGGAAAGACAAAGGAGTCAGTCTCTGGCTCTCCAATAGCTGCCCAAGACACCCCTTCAGACTAAAGGACCAGCCCTTTACATTGCCTGCAACTATGCTGTTGGGGGGGGGGTGGAATAGGGTTGCCAAATCTAGGACGGGTAATCCCTGGAGATCTGGGGGCGAATCCTGGGAAGGGCAGGTTTCAGGAAGCAAATGGAGCTCAGTGGGATATAATGCCATAGCTTCCATCCTCCAAAGCAGCCATTTCCTCCATGGGAACTGATATGTAGCCTGGCGATAGGTCAGAATTCCAGGAGACCTCCAGGCCCCACCTGGAGGATGGCAACCCCTGGTGGATCTTGACAGCCGCTAGGACCTGCTCGGAGGATTTAGATGAGCTTTAGGCTCTGTGGGACCAAGTTCTGGAAGATCCAGCGCAGAATCTGATTCTAATGGGGCCACTGAAAAAAGCTACCTGCTCTTATATCCGGATGCTATCTCCAAGTTTGTTCCCCTGAGACTTTATGTGAGAACACACAAGACACTCCGCTGGATCAGTCCAGTGGCCCATCTTGTTCAGCATCCTGCTTCACACACTGGCCAATCAATACCTTGGAAGGCTAATGAAGAGGACATAGAGGTCAAGGTCTCCCCCCACATTGCCTCCCACAACTATTTAGAGGTATACTGCCTCTGAATGTAGGGGTTCCCTTATTCTCCAAAACTAGTAGCCATTGATAGATTTCTTGTCCATAAATCTGTCTAATCCCCTTTTAAAGCCCTCTGTGCTCATGGACACCACTATTTCCCCTGGCAGTGAATCCCACTATTTACTCCTCCAGTAGGGTTGCCAAGTCTGGGTTGGAAAATACCTGGAGACTTTGGGGGTGGAGCCAGGAGAGGGCGTGGTTTGGGGAGGGGAGGGGCCTCAGCATAGTACAATGCCATGGAGTCCACCCTTCAAAGCAGCCATTTTCTCCAGGGGAGCTGATCTCTGTCGGCTGGGGATCAGTGGTAAAAGCGGGAGATCCCCAGGCCCCACCTGGAGGCTGGCAACCCTATCCTCCAGTAAGGAAGTATTTCCTTTGTCTGTCCTGAATCTATTACCCATCAACTTCATGGGATGTTCCTGAGGTCTAGTATTATGTGGGAGGAAGAAAGAGCTCTCTCTTTCCAGTCTCTCCATCACACGCATAATTTTATAAGCCTCTTGTCCCCCCTTATTTGCCTTCCCTCCCCTAAACTGAAAAGTTCCAGGCTGTCTAGCCCTTCCTCATAGGAAAGGTGCTCCAACCCCTTAATAATCTTGGTTACCCTATGGGCTCCCAATACAGCTGACGAGACATTTATGGAAACTAGATCTGAGCCAGATGGGGATGGGTGGGCGATGGAGGAAGCAATAGCAAGCTCAGTAACAAAGCTCTTACCTTGTGTGTATAAGAGTCAGACCCTCTCAGCTGTGGTTTTAAGATCTCAGGCAGAACAGCTGCGAAAGACCCTTGTCTAGTGAGTGGGTCAGTTTGGAAAGAGGAACCAGTGAGCTGAGAAAGTATTAAACACCCTTCTTGCTACCCATTGCATTCCCACTCCAAATTGCCCCCTCTGGAAGTGGATTTTCCTCTTCCAAAGGAGCCACCAGGCTAGGGAGACATGCGCTGGCATTTAAGATGTAGTTTGGCCCTCCAACAGAGGAATCGAACTTGGTGGTCTTACCTTTTGACTCTTTCAGGGTGGCTCTTGAGAAGTAGAGAGAATCTAGCAGCTAAGGGGCACCCTGAGGATTCTTTATATACCCGAGGGTGTGAGAAAATGAAGCCATTTCCGTGAAACAAAACAGGAAGCTTGGCCCCTAATCAAACCAGATTAAAAGCAATTTAGATATGCGGGGAGAAGGTTCACTGACCTATGGAGCATGAAAATGCCCTTTTAAAGTATGTTTACATTCATGGCAATTAAACTTGCACAGTGTTGCTAAAACGAAGATCCGGTATGTTTTCTATAATTAAAGCCATTAACCATCCAGATTTCC